GAACACAGGAGGCCCCGCCCCGGTGCGGTCCTTTAACACTGCGCCTGCGCGCTCTTGTTAGCGCGCTGGGAGCTCTCCGCTCGCGGGCCCTTTGGAACCCCCAGGCTCTCCAGCGCATCCCAAGCCCGCCTCTAATTTCCCAAACTCTGGGTACCCCGCCTCAGGGTTTCAGGGACGGGCTTCTTGGGCTGGGCTGTGAAACCGGGGAGGAAGGGGTGGAGGGGTTTACCTTGGAGACAGAGGGCTTTTGCTGAGCATCTACTTAATGTCTGACCCTTTACAAGTCTCATCTTCTCCCCACGACTCAGAAGATACGAGTGGCATCCTCATTTTACAGAAGAGAAAATAGATTCCAAGACATAAAATACGATGCTCAAGATCACACAGAATCAGAACTAGGAATCCAGGGAAAGGATTGGAGCTCTTTCCTCTCCCTCCTCCTCACCTTCACCCGCCCCCTAACGTCTGACAATGGCTGGCCTGTACTCTCCCTTCCCCAGGTCCCATGCTCATACCTGTCCCTAACTGCCCCAGATCCTGGGGGAGGGAGGGAACAGGAGCTGCCAAGTCTCCACACATGGAGAGGACTTCAGGATATGTGAGTTCTAGCTCTGCCCTTGCTACAACATGCTGAGTAGACTTGAGTGAGTCCCTGCCACCTCTGCAGGCCTCAGGTTCCCCATCTGTAAAATATAAGGCCTCTGCAGGCCCTACCGGCTGACCCTACATTGTGTCTGCCACTGTACAGTGGGTGCAGGACTTCAGCACTCCCTCCTTAGACAGATGCTGGGGAAGCGGCAATTGCTTCCTGAGCTGTGGCCAAGTCAACACCAACTGCTTCAGACCCTGCAGGGCAGGGCTGCCCACCAGCTCAGTATCCAACCTCTCTTCAGCTTCCTGAAGGAGCTGCTGGCAGCTACCCACCACTCTCCATCTCCAGGGGCAAGGGCTCCTGGAAGGAAGGCATTGTGCCTTCCTTTCCCTCAGACCTGGCCCTGGGTCAGATTGGAGCCCAGGAAGCCGGAGGGGGGGAACTCTGGAGATGTGTGTTCCAGACACGGTGTAGCTTTGTTTTTAATAATTAACAGCAGCAAATATTGATTTACACAGGCACTTCCAGGCCTGAGCACTTCCGGGCACCCATCGAAATGCAACCAAAGAAATATTCATTCCCACACTGAAAGGAGGCAAGACCTGCTTGCATCCCCAAGATGTCTGTATCCCCAGAGTGGAGGATGTGCACGTGTGTGCATGCAGCTGTGTGTATGTGTAACTCTGAGACCAGATGTGGCTGTGTGTGCACGGACATCTTGGGTGTATGTATTTGTGTGTTTGTATCTGTACACACATGCATCTGAATACATTTGCAGTCATGTGAATGTATCCATGTATGTAGGTGTGGGGAGACTGTGCATGTACATGTATGCAGATTCCTAAATCCTCAAGTGGAAAAACTCTTACAGGGGGTCAGGGACCTGGGTAGCTCAGTGTCTGTACAAATGTGGCTTCCCAATGAGAAGGGAATGTCCCTTCTGGGTGTTCTCTCTTGCCCTGGGAATGTAATGAAGCTGGTAATAGTTCGGATTCCTAATTTCAACTTTCCAAAATTACTTTCACAGTCATCACCCAATTGCAAGCTGGCAAGGTGGGTAGAGAAGGAACTGTCAGCTCTGTTTCACAGTTGAGAAACTGAGGCCCAGAGAGGAGCAGGGATTTGCCCATTGGCACAGGGAGTCACTTGCCCCTCAGACTGGCTCCACCATCAACATGATAAATGTGCGCAGAGCTGGCGGAGGGGGATGGAGGATGTGTCACAGGCCTGGGACTCTCCTCCCCACCACTGATTTGCTGGGGATCAGATGGATCACTCAATCTCTCTGGGCCCTGATTTCCTTTCCTGTAGATCATTCTATCTACAGACTGTGTCTTGATTCTGGGGTGGGTGTGGGCTGTCGGGGTGGGGCAATTTGGAGCCCGTAGCCGTCTGGGCTGTACTGGCACAAACGGAGGCTTCTAGCCAAACTGGGCAGAGGCCAGGAAGTCTGAGGGGAGGCAGCTCAGAGCTAATCTGAGAAGGCAAGACTCAGGGCGATGGGCTATTCTAACCCTCATTTTTCTGATGAGAACACTGAGGCTCAGGGATGGGAAGCGAACCCAGGCCTCCTACTGGATGCTTGGGGGAGAGGAAATGGGAGCCTCACTCCTGAACCCAGCTGCCATGGAGTCACTTCTTTCCTGCCAAATCCCAGGATCATGAACTAGTCTTGGGCTGTTACCCAGGCAGAGACAGGAGAGGATCTCAGGAACCCCCAACATGGTCCCTAGGGCCCCCACTTGGGAACCCCTTGGAGGTGGTGATCCCCTATATGGGCACCATTCCTTGGCTATATGCCCTCCCAGCCTAGGAGACGTAGATGGCCCTTGTTCCAGGTCAGATCTCTGGGGAAAGAGCTTGGCAGATCTTGCCCCTGCTATTTCCTGGCTGTGTGATCTTGGGAAAACCAGTTCACCTCTCTGAGCATCTGGATCCTCATCTGGAGACTGCCTACCACCTCAGGACCAAGAGGCATGATGTCTGTGGACGTGATTTAGAAACAGTAAAGTGTACTGCAAAAGTGAGTATCCTCTGCATTAGAGAAGCCACCAGACCAGGCACTCCGGCCAGACAGCCTGAGTTCCAGTCCTGGCCTCATCTCATCCTACCTGTGTGTCTTTGAGCAAGTAACTTAACTTCTCTGAGCCTCGATTTTCTCATCTGCAAAATGAGACTAGTAATAGTACTCATATAAGTACATGGTACTTATAGTTTGAAGATGAAATGAGATATGGCATATAAAGCATTAGGTACCCACCTAGCACATAGTAAATCTCAATAAATGCTAGTGGTTATTACTCGTATTTGACACTCCTTGTAAGTTGTTTGGCAATTTATCTCTTAACTGGGCTATGGCTCCTTGAGAGCAGGGTCTGTGTCAGATTGATTTCTGGCACCTCAGTGACCAGCACAAAGTCTGGCACAGGTCAAGTGCTGGGCAAACATTTGATTTTGATGATAACAGCAAATAATAGCCTCATTTGTAGGGCTCTTCGTCTGTGCCAGATATTGTGCATGGAATGTTTTACCAGCACTTTTGCGTTTAATCCTCACAGTAGCCCTGTGAGGCGGGGTATTATCATCACACCCGATTTACAGCTGAGGAGACTGATGGTGATGCTGATGATGAGGATAAGGAAGAATAGCTGTTTGGCCAGTTTATCTCCAGCTTTTTTGCCCCCCACCCCCAATAGTGCTACAGGCCCTGGTTCAACCTCTGAGACTATACCAGGCTCACCCAGGGGTGAGGAGTGGTGTCCCCTTGTGGGGGCTAAACCCCAAGCAGCATCTACTTGAATGTTCTACCTCTGCCCAGTAGTCATTCTTAGGTGTCCCTCAGCCCTGGGGGGTCTCTAGACCAGGGGCTGTGGGTAGGGGGGCACTTACCTTAGGGTAGAGTGAAGCAGTGTGGGAGGGAACTAAGTCCACTCGTGGCAGGTCTAGTGCCTGAGGGAAGCGCTGGTTCTGCCCATCACTCCTCCTGAAAGAGAAGAAGA